AGTGGGACAATTTGGAAGCAGGCAAGAAGTTTAAAGACATGCACATGCATATAATTTAATTTAAATGGGRTGTAGCTCCTGCCCGGACTGTTAATCATCCTGTGTGTTAAAGGAGCAGACATTATCTGTTATTTGTGGTTTTGCTTTCTTTTAGACATTTTAAATGAAAAAGCAAAAAAAAAAGCATCTCCTTTACTCGCTAGTGTTGGGAAGGTGTCACTTTGAGCTTGGTCACCTTCAAATCCCATGCTTCACGCTTTATGGGGGTTGCTTAAAAACAAAGCCTGGCATGTCACCAGATTTATCMCTGTTGTAAATATGTTAGCTTGGTTACTCCAGTTAGACAATACTTGAATTCACATATTATGAATTTTGGACTTTGAATAAGTTGCTTATGGTATTTTTATATGTATTCTCTCACAGAATTAGTCAAGGAAGTCTTATTGATGAGTTTTTTATTCTTATAAGTCTTCTCACTATATTTGTATCTTGATAAGACTTGAATATTTTGACATTGCCAACTGTTTTATCTTATTTTCGACATCCTTATCTTTCTCCTCATAAATTAATTTCCTTAGTTATTTGAGAAGTTGTTATTCAGTGTTTGTAACAGTAAAAGTGCCACCAGGGGAAAGTGGAATAAGGTTAGCTTTTTAGAAGAAAGGTGCATCTCAGATGCAAAATAAATTATTATTTGGATATTGTTTATTAGGTGTTTTGTTTTGTTTTTTTTTAATTGCATCTCCAATGATTTCATGGAATTTACTGTTCCATGGAAAGCTGAGGTAATCTCCCTTTAAAAAAAAAATAAAGGGGAGGTAGGCATAGCTGGCAAGCTCTTCATCCTGAGTGACACAGGAAAGAAGAAATTGAATAGGAAAATGGAAAGCTGTCTCTGACACATGCTAGAAAATAGAAACAACAGTAGCATTACTACTTGTGAACCATAGTGGCCATGCCCACCTGTTTGGTATGGAAAAGTTGTACTGGTTTGAAATTCCATTTGTAAAAAGTTTGATAGAGATGGGTATGGTAGTGTTTAACAGCAGATGGACTTGGCTGCAGAGCCCGTTTCGTCTAACCTCTCTGCATGTTTACCTTTGCAAGACTTCCCAGGTGCTGGAACTCTGAGGGGCTTTCCCTGGAATACTGTACTTTGCTATGTTTCCATCCACTTCCACTTTCTTTGGAATTTATGTCCAAACTCAAGCTGTTTTAGAACACAGATTCCAGATAAGCCAACCCAAGATCCATGTTTTAGTCCTGCTTGGGATCCTATGCAGAGCAGAGCTTCTGGTCTGAGTGACTTAAATAGCTCCCTGAATCCATTAACTTGTAAGATTYTGTGTCTTGTAAGAACTTACTTCACTTTGCTGTGGCTAAAAGATTTACCTTGAAGGAAATACCTTAATATTTGGGTTTGCTCACTTCTTTTCCTTTTACTAGTGGTCTCTTTACAGCACAGACTATAAAAGTCTTGAGAAAAAAAAGGAAACTGAAATAATTCAAATGAGCTTAGGGATAGCTTTTCCTCAGACCACATTTTATGTTGCCATTAATATCCCTGCAGGCTTCCTGTAGTTAGGAGAAGCAGCATGTGAATCCAGGAATTTGAGAGAAAGTAATTTGCAGAAAGAAACTAGAGTTTYGAAAATCTTTCGCAAATTAGAGGGGTACACGTAACAGAAATTTTATCTTTGCCATTTCTGGTAGGGAAGGGAACCCACTGTGTTTGRAACCGACTGGAAGTTATGTTCGCAGACATGCAGCAGCAAAACACAAGGCCATTTTGCCCATATTGGGAGTACATACACAACTTCGATCTAAAAGCTGTGTGACCAGGCTAGGGACAGCCAATGCTGGACAATCACTTTGGGTGACTGCCAGGAAGCAATAATTGTCTTTGTTAGACCCCCTGGTCATTAAGAGTTTTATTGTAGAAGMAATAACCCAGTCAAGTCCTTTCTTAAAAACACTGAGGTATATATAAAAATAGCATGAATATTTGTGTATCTCTCTGCGGATATATGTACACAAAARCCCTTATGTTTGTATATATATAAATTCTCTTTAATAAATTATAAGAGTGTTGTACATATTATTACAAGCAAGGAAGAAATAGATTGTTCGAACAAGTATCAGAGGAAGGCACAGACAGGTGTTAAGTCCAGTTCTTCCTTCCAGACTGAAAATCTGATTCTGTCTGAATGCTAATCTGTGCAACTATGCTACCTGACTGTGTTGCTTGAAAGATGCTGCCACTTTAGTTTCATTTTTTTCTGTTGCTGTGATTATCTCTTAATGTTAAGCATTTACTATCCTTCCTGTGATCATCACTATTGCAAATACACATACTAGCAAAATATATAAAAGTTAGCCTGTAATAAGAATTTAGTTTTTGATCYCCAGTCACAAATCATTTCATTTTCACAACATAAGTTTTTGCTGAGGACTGATCTATCATAACACACACCTTCCCTGTGGTGGTCCTGTGCTCTGGCTTAACTSAAAGGACAGCTATAAGAGCTGTTCTGAAATGTCTGTATTAGATATGATACAATGTTTGGGTTATTCTGAAATGCACCTGTTACTGTGCATAACAGATGGAGCTGTCAAGCATGGTGAGATTTTATTGTATTTAGTCCTGCTAGCTGAACCATCTTGGACCAACTTGTTTACTCCAACAACTTCCAAAATAAATGGATTGCAGTTACGTAAGTGCGTAAAAACTAATGTGTCTACRTTAAAGCAGATAAGGGGCAAAAAATGTCATTTTGACATTTTTGTGTTATTAAGCAGATGATGAAGTAACTCATATTAAAGAAGGATGGCACTCGTTAAACTACTTTTTAATAATGATTGCTTTAGGRAAAGCACACTCTTGATATGGGAGAYTTGGAATGACATGGTAGCCAGGAGGAGGAGAATTTTAGTACTCAGGAATGCAAAGAATTGCTTCCAGTAAGGCTRTTCCACAAAAATGCTGAAGCTGTTGGTGTATTTAAAGCAAAAAAATTACTTCCTGTGAACTGAATCTGAAATATATGAGATGTGTACTTTATCTGTTTTTTAGACTTTTTTTTCTGAGTCATATTGGTGCTAGTTCTGTTAAACATTTCCTTAATCAGCCTTTTGGGAAACTTGTCTTCAGGCATGTTTATGTTCAGCAAGTTGCTGAAGTCTGTAGTAGCTTTTGAGAAGCTGGGTAATTTACTGCTTTCATGACAGCCTAGTTGCCAAGCAAATAGTTTATAGTGATTTATTGGTGAGAGTAGGGGAATTGGCTTGAGCGGGAGAGCTACGAAATGGTCAATCTGTTTTCATAACCTCACTTCTGAAACAATGATAGATGGGCAGTATTGTTAAAACTGTGAATGGTAGGTAAAGCTATTTTGCACAGTACCAGGTTAGCTGTGTTAAATTTTGTGCTACTGGATTGAGAATAATTCAGAAGTCATTCCAGGAACTAGGGAAGGAAGCTGGGAATGCATATGATGGTTACATACGCAAAACTGTCACTGGCAAAACTTGAAATCTCTTTGCATTGCATAGGCCCTGACCAGTAACTGAGCACCCACCAGCTGCTCACTCCCTCCCCTCTCCTCTTCCAGTGGGACCAGCAGAGGGAATTAGAAGAACTAAAAGTGAGAATTGKAGTAAAGAAAGTTTTAAAAATGAAGGAAATACATAAAATGAACAAGCGATGCAAAGTCAGTGATGCACCATCTCCCACCAGTAGACCAAGCYAGCCTCCAAGCAGCATCTGTATAGGAAAGATCAAATGCACAGGTTTTATTCCTGGACWTAACATTAGCAAAACATGATACAGTCTTTGCTTTCTTAGAACACTGATTCTGTTCCAGTCCACTGTGTATGAGCAATACAGGTGCTATTTTTCTGTGCAACAATCGTGGACTCAGAAAATTGCATAAAATTTCTATTGTTCATTAGAGTAGATCTTACATGTTTTTTTCTTTATTTTGCAGCTGAGTGAAGACTTTCAAATTCTCARTATGACACATAAGACAGTGTCACTGTTTTATTTTCCAGTACTTACAATGTTTCAGATGAAGAGAAAGAAGCAGTGAATATAAACCTGAGGTCTCACCTTTATTTCTCATCTGAAGAGACTTATAAAGTGGCATGCATAGTTCACCTGTTAAGGAAAACATGGTTAACTCAAATATATCTGTGAAATGCAACAGTGTAATATACTGTCAACACTTCKGTGTGTATGCATCAACCACTACAGCTAAGTGAGAAAGTAGGAGTTTGTTCATGTCCATTTCTTATTTAATTAGGTATTGCAAATGATTTCTGCATATCTATAATAAGTAGTTGACTCTGAACTGGTCACCTTCATCTAATATGGGTTTAAATAACTGAAATATACAGGTCCAATAAGTACAATACTTCAACTCTCAGGCATTTATATGGCAGATTTTAATGTCCACTCAGTAGCAGTGTGAGTAAAAGTTAAAGATTCACAAGTTTTTTTCCAAATTTTGCACATCTTAAAATTTTAGGTTGATCAAGTAACCATAATAAGGATAACTTGGAGGGAATGCCTAGCTGTCTGTAGCTATAAGCAGCTTAGAGTAATTATAAATAGACATGCCTTTGTATCTTGCTTCTCTGATTAAAGAAAAGCTATCCCTAGGAGTTGTCATAGCAGCTGTGCTTCTCATCTAAATAGCATTGTACCAGTCTGTGTTCAAATCTTGTGAGTGACTAGCATTCCTGTTAATGGACTKCTTAGGTAGGCTGATCAGCTTCCCACTGGACCTTCACTGAAAGTGTTAGTGTAACTATACTGTTTGTTTGTCTGTTTGTTGGTGGGCTTTTTTACTAGTTATTGAAATAGATTTGTCCTAGATAAGAAAGCTGGATTTTTTTTTTTTTTATGTGTGTGTGTTCTTTTAACCCAGTCATTGCCTCCAGCCTGTTCTTTGGCTTGATTATGAATAGACTAATTTTTTTTAATCATTTTTGCCTTGTAGGTTAATCTCCGAGCCACGGATGTGAAGCTCATGCGCCAGCTCCTCATCATCAATGAAAGTATTGAATCAATCAAGTGGATGATTGAAGAGAAAGCCATTGCCAGCAGAGGCAGCAGTTTGAGYGGCAGCCTGTGCAGCTTGCTAGAAAGTCAGGAGACATCCCTCCATGGCAGCTGTAACAGTTTACAAGACTGTAGTGATGGACTGGATGGAATATCAGTGGGGAGTTACTTGGACACCTTAGTGGATGATGTCCCTGGCCACCAAACCCCTTCGGATATGGACAAGTTCAGTGATTCTTCYGTCATGGAGGATTCACAGTCTCTGCATAAGCATCCCAGAATTGATTCTGATGAGTACTACTGTTTTGGTTAAAAAGAACAAGTTCCATTGGGACACAAATGCACTTGTATTTACCCTTTTTCTTTGCTGCTATCTTATTTCATGTGCAAAAACCCCAAAGTTCTCTTGGAAAGAGAACATAATATGATACTTCAATTCTGTTGCATAACTTTTCTATTGCTTTTGATGCATTTTCTCCTTAATGGGTTGGGCTTTTCTCCTCGTCCTCCTTACATTTTCATTTTCTTAAATTATTGTCGCTTTTTTTTTTTTTTAATTTTTTACAATGCTTTATTTACAAGCCTGTAAAAGTGGTGAAGGAAAAGCTTTATCTTTAAAATGAAACATCAGGGGATAAGAGCAACAATTTTGTATTTGTTGTCAATAAAATATTCTGATAAATATGTGTTGTCATAAATTTTCTTGACTACCAGGTTTGGCCTTTCYAAAGACACTGTTCTTATTGAGCCTTAAATCTGAATCTTGAAAATACCTCTACAAAATAATTTTCCTTTTGTAAGCAATGAAATTTGATTTTGTTAAGCTGTCTTCAGTTGAAATATAAAGTATCCTAAACTTTTCTGTGTGGGATTTCTTTCATTTTTCAATATTCTCATATCTCTTGCCTAATTTTGATGTTAAATTCTGATTCTAAATTTTCTTTTTAAATTCAGCAGTCTTGCTCTGCTGTCCTTTTCTTTCCCGTTTTACAAGTTAGACCTTGTGTTACCATTTCTTTGCCTATCGGTGCAGTTGAGAGCTGCAGCTAATCAGTTACTTTGAAAGCAGCCAAGAAGTAAAAYGGTAACTTTTTACTTTGGAAAGTCTCTCGCTCTGAAAGTGCCCTGATTCATCCTTTTGTTCAGAAGATTAGGAGGCAGATTTTTCTTTTAAGTGCTTCAGAATCATAAGAAAACCCCCAAGATTTTAGTAAGAAAAAGTAGAAAAAATGAACTGTAATAAAAAGTAGAAAAAAAACCCTGAAATTGAACTAGACACTCTAACAGATGATGAATGTTATTTCCAGCATACAGATAGTGAAAGAGGTGTTGATACTTACACATCATCTAAAAGTGTTCTGTTTTGCCAAGTCTGACAGTATGCCTATTGCCAGTACAGCATGAAATTCCCTCACTGAAGTAATGTTTACTAAATATAAGGCAGGCTTCCATTTAAAAGCTGTTTTACACTCTGTGAAGGATTATGAGTACATGCAGCAGTTGATGTATGTGGGTTTGGTTCATTCTGGGAAAAAAGGCTCTGCTTATCCAAGCCATGTTTCCAGGGATCCATCTTGGCCAGTCTTGAGCAACATCAAGTAGGAAGGTAAAAAATCAAGCAATTGAAAGTGTTAATTTGTGCTTTGTGAGTGGTTCCATTGCTTCTCAATATAGAAGATGCCTGTGTCTCTCAGAATTACAAAACAATTTGTATATTTTTGCTTTGGACATCATGATTTATCCAATAGAGTGATAGTGAAGAAATGTGTGGTTATCAAAAATAAGCCTTCTCAGTTCTACTAAGATCAACCTGGGTATTGCAGATAACTTGAAGAAAAACAAGGCATGCCCTCAAACAGCAATGCCATGCTGATTTAGTTTATCTAGGGTGTTTTTTTTTTTAATTCCTTTCCCAGATAATGACTACTGAATGTGGCTTAAGAAAAAAAATGTTTGAAGAAAAAATCTTGGGAAAAACTTCTCAGTGTGAAATTAAGTAGAATATTGACTGGGAATTCAAAACAGGTTTTATTATTTTCAGTTATTTTAATCTAGGGAGTAGAACTAATTCCCTCTTAYAGAATTATATCTCTCTTGTAAGTTTTTCTACCTTTATTGCTTGGCATAGAATTGAAATATCAGGATGTATACTGTCTCTGAATCTAATGTGAATGTGCAATATCTTCTGTGACTGAGATTTTGGGCAGTAGGCCAACCTGTACATAAAATTTTCTCACTATGAAGAAAATATTCTTAAAATGTATCCCCTTGCATAGCACTGAAATTACTTCAAGGAAAGTACAGCCTGTAGCCATCACCTACCCRCTCACAACTGTAACATGGGATAAAGAATAATCAGTGATAATTTATCACATTATGATTTAAAAGTGCAATAAATGGGAATCAAAGCCTACTAGTAGAAATGGTAAAGTAAAAACTGTATGTGATTAAAAGCTTTTATTCCTCAGTGTCTCTTGACTGGAAGTAGAGAAAGAGTGCAAGTGCATAAACAAAGATGTCAGGAGACTTCTAGAAGGTAACAAGTGTTTCCAGGTGTTTTCTGGTATCCAAGAGCATGAACGCCTTGGTTCTTATTTTTGAAACAGAAAAACTTCAAAGATTTAGGAATGACCTGGATTTCTTAATTGGAATTCACAGGTTTTCATAATCAAAAGATAATGATTTATTCTGACTTGCCACTTAAGATAGACTATGAAGTTTGATGATCTCCTAAAATTAACTTAAAACTGAATTACAACTCGACTGAATGGAAAATTCAATGCTTCTTGAAAAACTATTCCCATTGGCTCTTTAACTTTGCTTTTAAACAGTTTACATATTTTTTCCAGCTTCCTCTTTACCTTGGTCTTGCAAAATCCTTGTGTGGCTTAAAGGAATCTGGGTGCCCTGCTTCAGCATGGACTTCTTTGTAACTTTTTATTTGATTTACAGAACTGAAAAAAAAACCAAAACCCAAAAAAACAAACAAAAAAAAAAAACAACTGTACTATAGAGCAAAGTATCTAAAAGCATTTTACAAAGCTGTGACTGTTTCAAATGGATAAAAGCAACAGGGTTTTTTTGAAAAGTGGATAAATAAAAAAGACCATTAGTTTATTCCCTGTCGTATTCTATCACCTTGGCTCTTTTGACATTTAGGTTGCTTTCAGGAATGTCAAACAATTTCAAGACACTGTAAAATCACAGGTGATGAGCAACCAGTCCATTCCTATTTCTACGCTGTTGAAGTTTTGTCTTTGAAAGACATTCCACTGTGCAAACTGTAAATCAGAGACAATGAGGGGGACTCTAAGGTAAATTTAGTATGCTTTCTGTTTTAGGATGATTGTTTCCTGCTAATGGGTACCAGATAGTAAGTGGATGTGCTCTGGTTCACAAAAAAAAAAAAAAAAAAAAAAAAAAAAAAAAAAAAAAAAAAAAAAAAAAAAAAAAAAAAAAAAATTAAAAAAAACCACAAACTATTGAAGGAGGGGGAAAAGCTAGCATTCTCAAATCTGAAAACTATGGAATTTTACAGATTCTGCCAAGACAGTGTAGTTACAAAGTTTTAAGGCACTTTCAAAGAAACAATTAAAATTCTTTGAAATCTCCCTGCCAGCAGYGAGGTCTGTTATTGATCTCAAGGCTGCATAGCTCAGTCAAATGTAGTCACAGTATGAAGAACCAAGCAGGAGCTCTTGAATTGTCGATCAGGAGGCCAAAAACATTGCACTGGGAGACCAAAGACAGAACAGCACCACTGCCTTTGGAAGGTGAACTACCATTATCCTATAATAGAAACAGGATGATTAGAAAAGACAGAAATCTGGTGTACCTTCTAAAAATGAACCCTGACTTTTGAAGGAAGTGGTAAAATGCTGGAAGTGCTGTAGAACCGTTTGAAGTTTAAAAAAAATCTCTCTGCATTTCTCTTTGAAAAAGAGAACTGATTAGTTGAGTGAAGTGCAGTCTGAAATAATGTCTGGTAACTGCATCTCATATAACCCTATATAATCGACTGAGAAACTGTGGGGGTTTTGTTTAATAATCTGAAGCAGTTACTAAGCTGTCGRAAAAGCTTGTGCTAGTATTTTTCATCTTGCCAACACTTGTGAACCAAGTCTAAAAGATGTGTCTTTGATATAAAGAATTAGCATACACCAAATAAACATGAGATCAGTAGAAAGCATCAATCACCTTGCAGCAAAGGAGGCTTTGTTTTACTTTAAATGTGCTCTCTTACAGCAAGTTTGTCTTTCTCAGAATACCTATGAATTTACTATAGAAACAGTTTAAGAGCATCCTGCCCTGAAACAAACAGAAGCTTTTCCCTTAAATAAATTAAGTAGAGATTAGTGCTGTCTACACTTGACCTTCCCATTGGCCAGAGATTAAATTTCCCTACTAAGTATGTCTAGAGTGAAAACAAAGCTATTTGTTCCCCTCCCACAACCCCCATGGAGTTTTCTATGCTGTGACATACCACTAATTGGGTAAGCAATCTCTATGAAGTCCTTTTAAAAGCCTGCTCTTTCCAGCAAACACATCTGATCTTCAGGACTGACATTCCTTATAATCTTGCGTGGTTTTGYTAGTTCTGTCTCAAGGATGTTTGATATGTCTTTTAGTTACTGTTAGAGGACCGCATGATACAAATACTTGATAATAAATACCAATAACAGAATTTTGGTTTAGGGCAGGGGGGAAGGCTTGTTCTTGGTTTGTTGTTAGGGTTTTGTTTTTTTTTCCTTGAGAGATTTTGTTTTGTTTTGTTGTGTTTTCAAAAACTGGCTGCAAAAAACAAGTTGGTAATTTTGAGCAATTTTGAATTTTTCCCCCCTTTTTTGTCTGACATTCATATGGATAGAAAGCAGCAGCTTGAATCCAAAGGTCTGAAATTATGCTTTTACCTGTGAACAGTTATCCTCAGTTCAAATTTGTCAGCATTGCTGGGTCCAAAACTTTATAGCTGACAGATATWACATTATAAAACTTTTAAACCCTTTCACAAAATGACTGCATTGCTCATYGTCCATAAATCTGTGAGACCACAGAAACCCTTTAAATTTAGAAAGGATATTGCTTTGATTTTTTGAAGGAAGATGTTATTGTTAGAACACAGTATATTTTGATTTATGAATTATGAACTCAAAGAACAAAGTACACAATAAAATTTAAAATATTTTTTTTTTAGGTCTGTCATATACTACACTCTGTTTCTCTTCAATGTTGTTGCCGACTTTATCTTCAATGCATGTTATACCCTTAAAAAATAAAAAACAATCTACTTTTTCATTATGTGAGGCTTTTTCAGAGTATTTCAGATTGTAAAAGCATTAAAACAATGCACAAAATACTGCATTAAAAATAGGCTTTAAGATTTAGAAATTTTAACTGTAGCTATATATTGTTGGTAATATGCCTATTGCTAGTACTTTCTTTTGAAGAAAGAAAATCTCTTTTTTGACTCTAAAATACTCTTTTATTTGCATTCCAAGTAAATTTCCAGAATCTTGCACTATGGCAAGAGAATAATAAATGGTGYCTGTGAGATTATTTGTAGAAAATCACTCGGTTAATTCTTTGTTCAAGTTTTACTGTCAGAAGTGTTCCCATCAACCTACCAGATGAATGTCTAAGCAATAACATCTGTCTTATCAGGAAAATCAGAGTTAAGCGATATAGCATAAAGTAGTATTTGTAACAAAGTGATTGTGCTGCCTTTTTAGGGGAAAAAAAACCCACAAAACAAACCACCAAAAAAAAAAAAAAGAAAAAAAGAAAAAAAAAACCAAAAAAACGAAAGACATTTCTCTAGGAGAGGAAGGGAGACAATAATAGAGAGTTATCAGTGCACCCAGTCCGGTGTGCATCAAAATGATGGAGGATCTCAATATTTTATGGACAGATCTGCCCCTATGGCCAGGCTTGCAGGAGGCAGCCTAGATGTTTTATATGCAGAAAGCAAATCAGAATGCTTTCTCTGCATTTTCAATTTACTAAATTCTACCTAAAAGTGTTTATTATACTGAGAAAAAAAAGTATTATGAACTTGGCATTTGTTAGTCTGTCTTTCCAGATTGCTTATTATATCCTTAAGACCCTCTGATTTCCAGGGAACCATTCAAATGTTTGAAGAAAAAAGTGCTACACTTATATTGAAGTAGTACATGAATATAAAATGCTATTTAAGAGTAGTTCATATTTATTTTTCCTCTATTCATTTTCTGAAAGCCACTTTTTTTTACAAGTCAGGCTTTTCCAGGTAACATGAGAGAACTTCCACAGTATGTATATATTTTGCAATCCAATTATTTAGGCAAAGTTATTAATTGCCCAGTTGATATCACAATGATCAGATCAGGGAGGGCCTCTTCACCTTTTGTGCATCTCTGAGAATTTTGATTGCTCAGACCATTTGTTTCAGAAATACAGTGCCCTTTGTTCCTGACAAATGGCTATCACACAGTTTGCACAGTCAAGTAATCCTAAAAATATTTTGATGAGGGGGGAGGAGAAGGGTAATTAAAATGCTCCTCGCTTTTTGCACAGAGGAGCTGTGTTTGGAGCTCTTAGTGACATAACTCTCGAGACAAATATGGCTTTCATTGTGCCACCCCACCTCCCCGTTGTCTGAATTAATGTAAATATTTGCTTCAGTCCATGAAGCTGCCCAAAGTCACTGCTGGGTCACTTTCTTTCTGGTATTCAGCATGCTGATATCAGCGCAGAGATTTTCAGAATGAGTCACAGGGCTCTATGGGAAGCTCCTGACTTGTTTAATCTTCACACAGAACTGATTGCTCTTCAGCACACCATTATCAGGAAAGGCTGAGTTGAGTAAGGCTTTCAGATAATAATTACGGTTTTTTAAAAAAATTAATGTAAGACTAGGGTTTTCAGTCTTATCATTCCACTTGTCATGCTGTGGTTTAAATTAATCTGGCCACTGACAAAACTGAAGGGCGAGTTTCAGTTTCTAAGAAGAAGACTGATTTATTGATGACCCTTTATGCTGAAGCATAAATAAAAGAGAAAGATACCATCAAAAATGTTATGAAAATATTATCATTATCCTTTTTGCTCTGAAATTGATTATAATTCAGGTTGTTCCCCTGGAGTTGCTGAAGGACATTTTTTCTTTTTTTTTTTTTTTTTTTTTTTTTTTAATCTCTGGGAGAGAATATAAACTATGCAGAGAGTGTAGTTTCTTGGTGAACTGTAACACACAGATGAGGGAGTGACTGACCGTGGATACAGTATTCGAATAAATAGAATTTGCCACTGATGCCAGTGAAGTATGCACTAGCAATGGTCCTGAAGACAATTACATTATGATTGATTTCCAGAGGTGGATCTTACAAACAACAGGGAATTTGATACAGATTTGTGGAAACTTCCTTAGAGGCAAAGGTATGGTGGCTGCAGGTTTTGGGGTTTCAGTTGTGGGGTGGTTGTTTGGGTGTTTTTCCCCCCTGTGCAATGGAAAGGTAAAATACCCTGTATATGTACTAATCTAGGGTTGAGGAAATCAAATACCTTCCACTTTTGTGTCTGTGCTTCCAARTGTTTGGCAGTTAGAACCATCAAGATATTCACTGAATAATGCTAATCTGTAACACCCTGCCTAGAGTTGGACTTTCTGTTAAAATACTGACATTTCTGTACCTTTAAATAAGCTTTCATGAAATAATACTTTAGTATGCATACTTTAGTATGCATTTCAATTTCTATTCAAATCACCTTCAAGCAGTTTACTGAGGAAGTCAGTCCTGGACCAATGTTTCCTTACATTTCTGCACAAGATCAGTTCTTTGATTTTTGTACTTCTCTTTTCCATAATGTAAAAAATTCAGCATACAGTAAATTGTAGAGGGTTTTTTTTTCCCCTTACCATTTTCATTTGGGCCAACAAAATTCTAGCAAGACTTTTAAGGCTTTGTTGTTTTTAAAAGATGTTAGAATCATTTAGAAAGACAAATTTACCATTTTTTTAAGAGATAAAAAATAGTATAGGACTTAACAAGACAACATCCACTTATTCAGATCCTTTACCACGACAATTAGGGCAATAAAAGAAAGGAGTTTGGTTCACTCCATATTTGCATGTCAATCTTGACGTTATGACATGAATATTTCTAGCTTGAATTGCCAGTTTTGCCATGATGATTAACCACTGACAAGGTAAACATGATATATTGACATGTTTTAAGACTAGGTGGCATATGATCTACCCTGGGAAATGCTTTCAGTGAGGCATCCTGGGAATGGCTGATTTGTGCTACAAATCCCAAGTTGAGTTGTGTGCATTTATCCTGATGAATATTAATCAGYAGGACCTGAGGTGGTATCTGGAACGTACAGTACACAGAAGACTGTGCCATTAGAGTCTGTCATGAACAATGTACAATTCATTCAATTTATTAATGCTCTGTTTCCCCTTCAGGCAAATCATTTCACCACTGTGTGATAATAAAGGACTTCAGTCAGACAATTTTGA